AGTTATTTCCCCTTTATTTGGTGGACTTCAAACCTTTACATTCCTTTTAAGCTTTGTTCCAACATAAAAAGAAGTACTTTACGCGAATGCTTAAAGAACAAACCACAACACAACCATCTGGCGCATACGCAGAAAAATCTCATTAGCTTTAATAGCGCATTTCTACATTCGCATTGTTCGCATATCAATATTTAATGCTTCGTTGCATGTAACAGGCTACATTATTTTACTGTATTTTATTTTAACAATATTACTGCGAACATGCATGAATTGCATTACATGTATTTCTGAATTGTATTACAGCATTTCTGAATTGCATCACATGTACATGTATTTTTGTACATGTAAATCATTTCTTATTACAAATTCATATTAAAAAAACTTAACGTTAATCACTAGCAAATTGTAAATGCAGTCTAAATACATGTATGTGGCATATATCAAACCTCTATAGATCTAGGAAAAATAAGAAACATTCGATTCGTAAACTATTTTGATAACAACTTATATAATTGTATAATTTTTGTGTATGTAACATAAATGCATTTGCATGTATAATGAATTAATAATATATCTACATTCATCATATAATCACAATTAATAACACAATATTTATAATGAGATTTTAATTTATGTAAAAATTTTCAATCTAAAAGTAAACCTAATAATCCTCAAAACCTTGAAATTTTATATGGTTCCCGACTCTGTAACTATAGAAAGGACAATTAAATGCAATGAAATATCAAATGCAAAAATAAATTATTATAAACAGAATAATGCATGTATTAATATGATTTCTTTATCTAACCGACTAATATTGAAATATTCTCTCTTTTCTCCGATTGGTTAATCAACTATCTATCGTTATTAACGAAAAGGATAATAAGGTTTATTTTCTTTGAGCACAAAATTCATAATACAAAATACCAAAAACAACAAAGGTTCTCAGATATATAAAATGAAGTAAAGGAGGAACAAAATGTGAAAGATATAACAAAAATTAATTATTGCTTAAAACAATCACTAAGATTTTAAATTTTAAATTATCACGTGGTGTATATAATAATAAATGACAAACATGCCCCCGCTTCGACAACATCAACAATTATCTAACATTGAAGCAACAGAAAATATTCCGCCGAATTCCTCTTCTGATCTAATTGATAATAATAACAATAATGATAATAAAGAAAATCGACGTGGCAGACGTGCACCAAGTATAGATACAAGAGCGTCAAAGGTCGGCGTAACTAATTTTATAAATGTGATTAAAAATTTACATCCTGGTGAATCGAGAACTTATTTTCCAATTACACAAGAATCACTTCAAGAATATATTAATTCAAAAAGAAAAGCATTAATAAAAGCAGGATCACTTGAACAATATCTTCAACACATACGAGCTTATAATATCGCATTAGGATTTGGTTGGCAAGGACAAATATTTGGTCCTATAATTAAGAAAGCTTTGAACGAACTAAGAGCTCATGAAGAAGAAAATCGAAAAAATTTAGTAATCCATTATCATCATTCACAACTCACTGAATATGTGGCTTCTAATATGTGTAGTTCAACAGCTCAACCTGTCAGTAGTTCGACACCTGCAGCATTTGGTATAAATATGTTAGAGATTGATAATAATAAGAATAACAACAATAATAATAACACAGAAGGACATATAATCTATTATGAGGATACTCACGCTCAAGAACATTTGTCTTCTTGCAATGGTAATTATTTACTATTTAATCAATCAAGTATGTATTATTTTTACTTAAACTAATTATAATATTCTAATCTCTAACCAACTAAAATTTAGAACAATTAAAAATAATTCCATTAGTCTGTTTCGATATCACATTTATTCCACATACAATTATGGATGAACAAGTAAACGTATCGCTTAGCAATTTAAATTCCAACGATCCATCACAAAGTTTATGTCAACTCTATGCGAATATTGCATCATTAAGCTTGCCTTCTCAATGGGATAACGCTGATACTTCTCATATCCATTATCGAATTGGTAATGGGAATAATTCACAACATTTCGGATTAACAGATGAATCGGCATTCACTCATTTCTGGAAAGCATTTATTGCTAATCTTAATGAACAAGAAAAACAAGTTCAATTGGTGGTTTACAGAAAACCAAAAAGACTACATAATACAGGTAATAATTTGATCGCATATTGAATATAATCATAAAAAGATGCATAAATGCTTCAAAACTTTCAAAAGTCAACTGTTTATAATGAACTTGTGATTTTATTTGTAAAAGTTCATTAAAACCAAATTATAATGTTTGGTAATTAGTTCGAGAATTCATGGTTCACATACTGTGTACGTTATAAAAAGGTTCATTATATCGGGTCCTTTAATTTCGACAAATAATTTGCAGCTTACCTCGATTATTTTATTGTAAAAGCTAACAATAATAAATATCAACGCCAACCATAGAATCAGTCCGTGCATCTTCTTTGCATGTATATGCTATTGATGGATCAGCATCAGGTGAGAATAAAATGATTGGTCAATTATGTACAATTATTAATTAATTGCTTGTGTTATCGTTATTTAGAAACAAACTTAAAGTACGTAACAATAAGATCAAAGCTAAAGACATATAAGCAAAAAATCGCCATTGGTGAGTACACAACCTTTGCATCATTAATCGCCTTCGCCACTAATAGAGCAACCCCACCTGTGGGAAAACAATTTGTGATTCGATCGGTTGATGAAACATTCGAATATATACCGGAAAATTTAGTGAAAGAAGTGATAACTGGAATGGAACATACAGATCTTCTCGTTACTTTGGAAGACGTTGACCCTCTCGCTATATACGAAATACTTTTAAATTCTGAAAATAATTTTCTGAGTTTCTAATTACAGTCAAGCCCTCTCTATTTACATTCGCTATATGCACATAAAGAAAAATTTTTCAAAATTCTCTTTAAGAGCACATTTATTTAATTAAAATATTTCTTTATAAGCGCATCTTAGTAAATCTTTTATAGGCATTATATTTAGTGTTTTTCGAAAAACATTTCCCCTTAATTAATTATTTGTATTTTCATTTTATATGTTCGTTCTGTTCTCGTATCTTTCGTTAATTATTAATTCGTTTAATCTGTTAGTCAGTTTTATTTTTCGTTTAATTCCTTAGCCGTTTATATTTATTTGATTTATTTAATACTAACGTTTTGTACTTTTTTTAAAAATTTAGAACGCACCTTACTTAGAAAATGATATACTGAACATGTATATGTTGTTGCTTGCTTAATTCCCAAAGTTATCGTTATAAAAAGATCGCTCTGTCCTACCAGTCATGTATATAATTTTTAGCACAATTCTGTTTTATCTTATTTTATTGTGTGTTTATTTTAATTTTTCTTCGTAATTTTAGAAACGTAATATCGATAATATAAAATTATATCATTAAAGATATCACATTTTTTTACTCTTCTTTCCTTATAATTTTCAGTTTGATGAAAAATCTACAATTTTTTTAAACTCGATTTTCTCAGAAACTACTATATAAATTTTTTGTATTCTGTTAGGTGGCTTACAATCCAAAAGTAAAAAATGAAAGATGTAAATTTTTTCTATCAATTATTTCTATACATGTACTAAGTCATTATTTGGCGCTAATTTTATGTACAACACATAAATATTTATGACTTTTATTTCATTTTAAACTTCAAGGTTGGTAGAACATCTTATATGTTGTATTTTTTTTTATTGATAAAAAGATTACACTTCGGAATCGAAAAATTGCTTATATGGAATTTCATTTACCATCATTGATATAATTTTCGAAAATCATTCGTTCTTTGCCGTCACTCCATTGTTTATACATGCAGCGCCCCTTTTTTTTGCGCAAGACACCTATGCTATAAAAATATTTGAAATTTTTATTGCGAAATTTTATTATCATTTGTAATTGTTAGTGGAAACGAGAGTCGTCAAACTTAAACTTCGCGAAAACAGGTTTTGAGTCTTCAAATAATTCGGGGCAAGTTACACATCATGATTGATCAGTGAATTGATAATTTTCAATGAAGTGATTGAACTGGACATGGCACGAATTTTTACGAAGGGTGTTAATATCGGAAATTTAGCTTTGTTTACCACGAAAATTACTTGATTTAACAAACATTCTTCCGCTATCTCCGCTCAGTCTGCATGCAAGCACAAGTGATGCACAGCGTCGTCATTTTTTGCCAGGTATTTAATTTAAAAGAGTTGATATCGATACGATATTCTCATTGCCGTTATACATGAACATGTACATATAGACATCAATAATAAGTTTTGAACTACATGAAGCAGGTTTTTTGTATGTTTTCATACAATACATATCATGATGCACATGTACATGCACATGTATTACGATATTCAATTTGTAGATCTCTTCAAATAAACTATAACGATAATTCAGGGCTATTCATACATATATTTTAATATCGGATTGGATATTTAACACTATATCAACGTCTATAATCCAATCCTACTTCTATTACTATTTCTCCTAATTATCTTTCACTAAAATCATCTATTAAGAAATTAAAGTATTCATCAACTACATCAACTACATCAACAACAAAATGTAACAGTTCAACACCTTTGTATGCGACCAGTGGTGAAGCTTCATCTTCAACACCATTTGATAACACATGAAAAGAATTGAATATCTATGATGCAAATTTTTTTCAGATGAAGAAGAGAATATGAAAAGAAGAATTGTGATGATGAATACAAATATTGAGAAGAATAAGATTATTATGTCATCTTCTTTAAAATTGCATCAACATCTAAAACAGGAAAACTTATTCCTGCTTCTATTACTGTTCCTCCCAATTCTCCTTTGATAAAACTACTTATTAAGAAATTAAAGCACTCACCAGCTACATCTTCGATACAACCTGTTAATTTATCTTTACAAACGCAGCCATGAACAAACGAAATTAAATTTAATGCATTTCAACCAGGATACAATGCTCTCCAAACGCACTAAACAGCAGTCAACAATGTTATTCAACAAATTTGGATTCAATGCTTTTTAGCCACAACGAACAGCAAACAATTTACAGAATTTCGATCACAAAAAGCAACATTTAACGAATTTGGATTCAAAGGTTTCCAACCACAATGATTAGCAAACAACGAATCTAGCTCAAACAAGATTTTTCAGTCCAAATCCTACGAAACACGTTTAGATGAGATTTGTGAATCCTATAAAGCATTTTTTTTGATGGGATTAGTGATTACCAACCACAAGACTCAGCAGCCAACCAACAAAAATTTGGATTAGATAACACATCATTACATAATGGAGTACCTTTAGTCACTAATACAGAAAATATTGATGAATGCGACTAAACTTAAAGAGATAATAATGCATGATCTTTCTACAAATATCAGATTTGTCAGACTCAAACTCATGAGACAAAAAAGGTTTTGTGATTTGTCTTAATTTTTAATGAAGTTCTCGGATTTCGAAAAATCTTCGAAAGAAATTCGACAACAATAGTTTCTCTACGAATATAATTATAAGCGATTCAACTCCCGTGTACTCCTATTGCTAGTTGACTAAATCAATCATTAATCTTTAATTCAAGTAAAACGGAATTTAATTGCGCATAACCCTATGGTCCGAGGAACATGAATAAAGTAATAAATGGGATGCATAAACTGATATTGAAGAGAAAGATACATGCTTTTGATAAACATCCATATAAATTCCATCAAAACACTCGAATATAAAAAAAATGGTAGATATGTATATATTATGGGCGCTATTTCAAATATTGTACCCTTTAATACACAAATAACGCCCATGTGCGTCCCGAGTAACGCGCACTTCATATAACGTATCGCAGATTTACGACAGTAATAAATAAACTGTACTTTGAGTGGGTTTAATGAATTTTATCTGTGATTAGGGTTTGGTCCTCTTTTGAAGATAAAGTATGCTTACAGAATAATGCGGCAAGCTTATAACGAAAACGAATTAAATTTACTTATAATGCGCATTTTATTTATAATATACTTATAATGTGCATCTAGTGCACAATATACATATACTTTTTTATTCGTTCATATTCGTTCATTCATAACTTGCCGTATTTCGACGTCCCCGAGCAAATATCAATGTAAAAGAGAGATTATTTCTTTTTTGAACTATTTTTTGAATTTACTTATTAATTTAAAATAAATATGCAGATGTATGTATTTCAAAGTTAATGATCAAATATGCACCTTTGAACTTTTTCTACATACATGTAATTGCTTAATGTGTTAGAAACGGAGTAGTCGCCTATTCATATCCTATAGAATTTCTGCGAATCGACGGTTGATATATCATTGCGTTGTAAATGTATTTATATTCGTTGGAAAAATTGATTACGGATTCCAAATCAAAAATCAATATATGTCAAAGTGTATGTGTATACATTTACGACACTCTCTTGCTATAACACAACGTTCTCTTAATAGGCAAATATTTATAAGGAGACTAGTTCTAGAAACTTTTTTTCTTAGTTATCACAACCTTTAATAGTTTCTTTTATTTACTAAAATGAATTCAAAATAAATTTCTTCATGATTATTATTGATACTCAGTCTGTTAAACGAATTTCTAAAATTAGTAGCTTTTACGGAGATAACGACATGTGTTTCATACTTATATTGGATAATACTTATATCAAATACATGTTCTTAAAATGTGAAAACTTATATTGTACATACAGTATATAAATTTACATATTTATTATATGTGCTGTATTACATTTTAAATGTGCATTTTACAACGCCCCATGCATATATTAGACTGAAGCTTTATAAGACTACCACATAAAGCAACACGGATGATTACATAACATAATCAGCTGAATTTTGTATATCATTCATTGTTACATCAATTGAAAATAAAGCAAACAGAGAAACATGCGTTCTTATTATTTGTAATAATTAAATGAAACATACAAAATTTAATTATACATGTATATTAGTTTCAATAAAAATACTATGTTTAGAAATAATTTTCATTTAAATACTCCGGTAAATATGTTATGTAATTACATGTATTAATGTTAGTTACTTCGAAATAATTTCATGGACTGTTTAGATGTATTTTATAAAATTTTCTGATCCAACACAAATTTTATGTTCCAAGTGAGAACCGAATAAGATGATTATTTTTTAAGAACAAAATATTGAACCTCAAGCTTTAAAGTGGTTGTATGTAAATTAAACATAAATGAGTTTTATATAATAATTTTCGTGATGAAGCCTTATTGCCCCTTTTTTGTCAAGAAATATATGAATAAAATAAAAATAAATATATACATAATATTAAAGAATATGTAATAGAAAATAATGGTGGTAGTGATGGTGGCTATCAGATATATAAATGAAGGAAAACAGTGAACGTTTTAGAAGAACAAATAATTATTTTTACCTGCTTAAATGTGCATATTATATAATTTAAATTTTTAAATTTCCACATATTATATACAGTCGCTAATAAAAAACGACAAACATAAATTTTTCAATATGCCGTCCCGTCGTCAACATCAACAATTATCTAACATTGAAACGACAGAAAATATTCCGTCAAAGCCATCTTCTGATCTAATTGATAATAATAGCAACAATGATAATAAAAATCGACGAGGCAGACGTGCACCAAGTATAGATACAAGAGCGTCAAGGGTTGGCGTAACTAATTATATAAATTTGATTAAAAATTTACATCCTGGTGAACCGAGAACTCATTTTCCAATTACACAAGTATCACTTCAAGAACATATTGATTCGAAAAGAAAAGCATTGATAAAAGCAGAATCACTTGACTAATATCTTCAACACATACAAGCTCATAATATCGTGTTAGGATTTGGTTGGTATGGTCAAATATTTGGTCCTATAATTAAGAAAGCTTTGGACGAATTAAGAGCTCGAAGGAAACTCGAAAAAATTTAATAATTCGTCATCACCAACCACAACTCACATTTACGCCTATCAATTCTATTGAATACAAGTCTCCTAATACGTGTAGTCCAACAATTCCAACTGCCAATAGTTCAACACCTGCAGCAGATGTTATAAATATGCTAGAGATTGATGATAATAATAAGAATAGGAATAATAACAAAAACAATAATGATGCAGCAAGACAAATAATCTATAATAAAGATACTCATGCTCAAGAGCATTTGTCTTCTCACGATGCTGAATTATTTAATATGTAATAATCAAGTATTTAATCTTTTTATCGAAATTGATTACAATGATTCTAATTTCTAACTCCTTAAATTTTAGAACAATCAAAAATAATTCCATTAGTCTGTTTCGATATTACACATGTTATTATGGGTGAACAAGTAATCGAATCGCTTAGCAATTTAAATTTCACCGATCCATTTCAAAATTTATGTCAATTCTATGCGAATATTGCATCATTAAGCTTGCCTTCTCAATGGGATAACGTTGATACTTCTATATCCATTATCGAATTGGTAATTGGAATAATTCACACCATTTCGGATTAACAGATGAATTGGCATTCACTCATTTCTGGAAAGCATTTATTGCTAATAATGAAAAGCAAGTTCAATTGGTGGTTTATAGAAAACCAAAAAGACTACATAATGCAGATAATGATTTGACCGAATATTGAATAATAATAAAAATATGTATAAATGCTTCAAGAGTCAACTGTTTATAATGAACCTGTGATTCTATTAGTAAAAGTTCATTAAAACAAGTTTACTATGTATGATAATTAATTTGAGATTTTAATTATATTGTATTTTAATATACTCAAGTAATATATGATCAATAATAATAATAAAATATTATGTTCATTAAAACAAGTTTACTATGTATGATAATTAATTTGAGATTTTAATTATATTGTATTTTAATATACTCAAGTAATATATGATCAATAATAATAATAAAATATTATTCTTTTAGATATAGCTTTTAGTGATGAATAATATATATAATAGTGAAAAGTTTTTTTTCGTGGATTGAATAGTTTTGCTTAGCTAATGTTTAATTTTATCACACATAAATGACAGATTAATTATTTTTAATGTGATTTTAATTAAGTATTATTCTAATAATAAAATCTATGTATTTATTATAATGGTGAATGATAATTTTAGATCTGATAAGATTATTATTAGTATAATCATTAAATATTATTTTAAATTGTCAAATACTTTTTATTTTGAATCATTTCAAATATATTCTTAATCTTTATGTAAAAGTATTATATGTAATAAAGTAATTTTAAAAATTCTTTTATAAATTTACAATAATAGCTTGCAAGATCTGAGAATAAATATAGCTTAGATATATTAATTAGTTATAATTAATCATGTATTATAATAATCTAGTATTTGTTAATAAAGATTCCTTCATCTAAGATAAAATAATTTAGATATTTAATATGTTATTTAATAAGTTTATATTTTTTCAATTTTATATATAGTTATATTTATATAGCATTAAGATAATATATAAATATTCTAGATATTTTTCTTTATTATTAAGATAAATTATTATAAACTTATAAAAATAATTATAAAAGTTATGAATATATTTATTAAATCAAATAGCAAGACAAGAAATTCATAGTAATTATATCTTATTCTAAATATAATCTTCTAAATATTATCTTCTTTTATTTTGTTTTGAGAATAATTCAAATATAAATTCAACTTGAAAAATCCTGATTTTTGATAAATAATTTATTAATCCATTTATATATAATAAAAAATACTGATTTTTAATTATAATTTTGTTCAAAATATAATATTTTATACAGAATTTCAAGATTTTTTTCTTCTTATACACAAATAAGATAGATATATCAAATAATAATACACTTAGATAATTATTTAATAAGTTAATAAGTTGCTTTTTTAATTTATTTATTTTAATATATAACAAGTAATAAATAAATTATAATAATAATTTTGAATCAGATATTAAGTTAATAATACAATTAAAAATATATTTTAATAATAATTTATCTAATAATAACTTAAAAAAGATATTAACAAATTTTTTAATTAATTTGATAACTTCTTTAAATATTAATACTTCTTAATATTTTTTTATAATAATATAAATTATAAATAGTTTAATATTTTAATAAGTATTTAATATATTATTAGTAAGATATATAGATTGAATTATAACTTTAAGAAAAGCTAATATTATTTATATTTAATTATCTTATTATCATAATTAATCATCATGAATTTATTATATTAATTAATAATAAAATTAATATAATAAAGTTATAATTTATTAAGTATAAGATTATAATATTAAATATTTAAAACTTATATATTAATATTAGA